CAAACAGGTGGTGGAAGGTGGTAGTCAGGATATTAGAAGTCTGAGAGTTTTGACTTCTGACAACAGGAAAAAGACTCTTTCACTTGTAGATCTATGAAATCATAATATGTATAATGCCCTAGACACTGGTGAGGATCCACAAGACCCATCAGAGGATTTATCAGAGCTGTCTGAGCCTTAGTCTAGTGTCTGTACAAAAGGAAAAAAGACATGATAGTTACTGAGGACTCCCTCCTGCAGTGCATGAAGGAACCAATCTGCCAACATGACCTAATATCTTGGGAAATTTTTGTTTGGCAGGCTTTAAGATCTGAGATGTCTGGTAATAATTGCCAAGACTCATCCAGCCCCTCTACTATTTTCCCTTGCTGCTTTTCCATGTAGGCATCATCACTGGCAGGGGCAATGTGAACTATATTAAGACTCACAACACAGTTTGAGAGATGAGAGTGAAGAGAAGGGAGACCCAGGTGATGTCTCCTCAAACCTTTTGATTAGGGAGAAGGCTTGAGCAGAAGTGAGTCAATTGATGTTGCAAGGTTGGTTTAGCAGTCAGGGCTTTGTCTTCTATGACTGCATGACCTCGAGGAATGAGAGTTACTTTCACAATCAGGAAACCAGAGAGGTCATCTTATTTCACATCTTAGTATGAGTGGTACAAAGACAAGAACCAACTGACAATGTCCTGGAAAGGAAAATCATCGAGGAGAGCGATCTCCATTTATTATCCTTTTATAGTGCAGCTCTACTTACATGGCTTCTTTCCATTAATCTCCAGGAATCCTAAGAAGAAAGCAGAAGACTGATGGACAATTTAATGACCTGTTTTGCTGGAAACAGCAGGATAAGCCTGTTTAATATGTTTGCTCCTATTAGTGAATGACTGACCAATGGATCACCCCTAACAAAAAGCCAGCAGCAACAACAATAATTACTGTGCTTTTCTAATCAACAAGGCAAAATAGATTTTAGCATGTGTATTTCTGATTAAGTTATGTCATACTGTTCAGTGACACCAAAATGAGATCATTGGTTTGTATTTCCTCAGCTCTTAACCTCTCTCTGCTTTCCCTGTCAGTTCTAATGTTTTCTCAGCCCTTCCTGCACCAGGAAATCCTGATTCTTAACCTTCATTCTCCTGCCTTCAGCACACACCATGCTTCTTTCTGTGTTGCTTTTCACCTGTCATGAGATTACAGTTTTCCAGGCTGTCTAGCCATTGCATGCTCTGTGTCACAATGAACTTTTCCGGACACTTTCTGCCATCTAAATTTTATTTAAATAATCCCATTGATTCCTCCGTATGTAGTGTACTGACCTGAAGGCAAGAAGAAGTTGGTGGTGGTTTGGCGATGTATTGTGGGTTGCTTTTTTTTTTTTCTTTTTCAGAAATCACCTAAATCTCATATTTTATTGCCCTTCTAAAAGCTCTAGCAATACACATCTACAGCCCAGGGCAGCAGATGCTGAAGCCGCCACCTAAGGCAGCTTCCTCTACAGCCAGGTAGGAGCCAAGCTGCTGTAGCTTCTTTGCTAAGAGTCAAACTGTGTGCACCTACGGCACCACTGGGAAAACCTACACTGATAAGATAGGATGGCTGCCTGTGCTGCAGCTGATAGCACTGCCAGTTGCTCCCCTCAGGCCTGGGCAGAATGGTGAGTGTCCTGCCAGAATGCTGGAGATAAGCCACTAAGAAGAAGCTGGCCAAGATGGGACCATTACAGGTGGTCTTGAGAAGCCAACTCCTACAAGAAATTAGAAATAGATGTGGGAAGAGGTGTGGTCAAGGACTGCGGGAATGTGGGCTGTAAGTTAGCACAGAGGATAATTATTTTAACTTAAATTCTGCTGTTTTATGTCTTATATTTGAAGAGTAAAGGACACATTAAGTCATATTTCTGTATTTTTTCTATATTTGAAGAACAAAAATTAGAAAGTTCTGCCTAATAATGCCTCTGCAATAATATAGGCACAACAATTAAGCAGTATGACGTTGGATTCTTGCTTGCCCTTTATCTTGACTAGAGAATAGATTGCAGTGGAGAATAATTTTTGTTCTGTGCACATTAATCATATCTGTGGCTTGAAACATCCCAGGCAAATACTGTCCTTAGGACTAAAAATATTTACATAGGAAATGTCTGCATCTTTCAATATAGGGGCAGTAAAAGTTTCAACAGCTTCTGCCCTTGCAAAGCAAGCTTAACTGCACAAGAATCAGCAAATCTTCATCTTATAACACCTCAGGGTCATAAGAGAGTTGTGCTTTGTAGCAAAAAAAGTGCACAATATGACCAACAGAATTATTTTTCTTTCCTGATGGTGACTTAAACATCAAAGCAGCGTTCTTGTGTAAAGGACCATCTTGTTAGCCTAAGTGTTTGAAGTGTACTGTATTGACTTGTTCTCAGCATACACATACTACTTGTAAAACACAATCTGCAAAGAATATAGCCTTACCATAAGTTTGCCTTTATCATTGCACTTTTCTTATTCTCCTCACTGATGCTTGAATATTGAGTTTGCCTTTGCAGACTTTTAGCAATGCTATTTTGTAACCAGGGCTTTGACTGAAGTAAGAAGTCTGTTCAGAAAGCTTTTATGGCTCTAGACATCCAACTACAGCACTTGCTACTTATGGTGGAAGAAGAGGTGATAAAGACACAGGTCTTCTATTTATTCCCTTCCTTACCCTAATTTAAGACCACTTTCTGTCGACTACTTGTCTCTGCCAACAGTGAATCATACAGGAACAGGTATCTGCACAGTAGTGTTAGCATTCAAGCACCTCTGCAGCAGACTTGTTTCACTGCAAAGCTAGCTTTGAATAAAATACCTTTTTATTTCACAATCCTTTTAAGAACAAAAGATAACAACGCATTTTGTTAGAAATAAAGTTGAGGGACTGTGTCCTATATTAAATGCATCCTGAGTTCTTGCACTTATTTGAAGATGTCTAGCTGGTTTCTGGAAACTGAGTACTGAGTGTAATCACTGCCTCACTCACCAAGCAGGACTGATGCAGAAGATCTGCTCTGTAATCCACAACTCATGCCTCTCTTCAAAACACTCATGAGAAGTGGTACAGGAACTGTTTTCATAGATGTATATTGTGCACATATATTCACATAGGTATATGGCACAGGGACTGTTCTCATAGATATATATTGTCCACATATATACACCTAGGTATATGTACATATATGTATTTATATATACACATACATATAACCCTTCATGTACACTGGTAACAACAGGATAACTACACATGTACACATTAACAATTAACAGAAAACACAAACACCTCTAAGTGCCTCTATCTTCAGCTAAGGCATACAGTGATACCCTCACATCATGCCATAATGAACACCACAAAAATCTAGCAGTAAAATTCAGTACAGGTCAAGACCAGCAAAAAGTGTAGCTATTCTTGTCATTGTCCATCACTGAGGTACTCCAAAAGGTAACCATACAGCAATCAGGCTTAAAAAAATATTTTGTATATGGAAGAACTGCATATTAGAGAAAAATAAAATAAGCTGAGGATATTTGTTTTCCTGGTGATGTAAACATACAGACAAATTTTGCTAGCAAAGCCTCAGGAAGAAAAACTGCAGCTTTGTGCATGGTAAGATCTAGTGATAGCCAGCAGCACCACCTGGTGTTCTCTCCAACCCCCCAGAGAAACGCTTGGTCCCCGCACAGACCAGAACCTGAACTGCAAGGTCCAGTTTTGTAAACTCCGACCTTTTTAACTCACTGAGTGGCATAGAAATCTGTAAACCATGATGGAAAAAAAAAATTCTCCAGCTAGTTTACATTTAAACGGTATGCTCAAGATAGTTTGGTTTGTGTGGCTACAGTTATTAAATTAATGGAGTTAGAAGTCAGTAGTCCCAAAACATAAATGAAGCGAGGATCTCCAACCCTTAGCTTTGGATGTGACTAATAAACGGTGCTTACAGTAGGATGTACCAGTTTAAGCATAGTTATCAATGGACATCTGTGTTTTGCTTTGTTTCCCCTTAAGTACCTGCAGAATCAGTTTGCTTGCTGGAAATGCATCTGGGTGAGGCTGTATCTGCCCACAGGGTCCCATTCAGACTTACCCTCAGGCCTTCCTCTCTCTCTGTCAGCTTTGAAAACAAGCCTGAGGCACTTCTGGAAGTTTTCCTGTCAAACTCCTTCTACTTCTTGGAGCAATATTTTCCTTACTTATTAAACTAAGATTGCATTTTGCAACTTGCAATGCTACCTTTGATGGGAAGTCCAGCTTAAAAACTAAATCAAAACCTTGGATAAAAACAAAATAAGTACTTTTTAAATGCATATTAAAATAAATATGTATGAGTATTTGCTAAGAGTGATTGATTCTTGTGTTTAAAGACAGATGGATCCCTTTGTGACTCAGAAAGAGAGAGAGATACCTGATATTTAATTCTATTTTTCTCTTGTCCCTTTCTCAGCAAGTAATAGCATGTAGACCTAGGGTGGGCAAATACTCCAGGCACCAACAAACTTATTCACAAGCAAATATATTCATTCATGTTGTAATACATGAATACTTAAGCCAAAAAGGTAGGAACTTAGATGAAAACACAAGTCAAATTCAGCAATTGTGTATACAAATACACACCTTCAGCTACAACAGGGGTCTACATAGCTTGCAGCTGGTCCTGTAAAAGGTCACTGTCTATATTCTAAAAAAACCCATGACTTAAAAGATACTCAACTTCAATTATGAGTTTTGACTTGATTTGTAAGTCAGCACTCCACAATAATTTTTAAGTACTGTAAAAGTTTGATAGGTGGGAAAAAGCAAAACTAACTCTCAGTCACCCTGTAACCCCAGGATCCCCCTTCTCCCTTGCTTAGGGGAAAGATGAAGTGGCAGGAAAGGGAGCTGCAAGGAAAGCTTCAAGCACTGAACACCTGCAGACACACCATTTCAGTCCCAAGAGTCAGTGTTGCCCTTCTGCAGTTGCCCTGTGAGACTTACTGTGGGGTAGGGGTGTGAGCAGAAGACTGTGTATTTCCGAATGATGCCGTTCAGCTTCAGGGGAGGGAGCCAGGAGACAAAGACAGTGGAGGCTGAAGCCGCAGCTGCTTTAACACCAGCGGGAGGACCTGGAACTAGAAAAACAAAAAATGTTAGAATGGCCCAAGGCAAGCACTCAGTCATCCTAGTCTGAATGAGGAGTAAAAAGGAAAAAGGGAATGTGCTGCTTTGGTAACCATGCCCCTGTAGACCAAGGAGGAACCAATCTCTGTGCTGCCCACGCCAAGGGAGAGGGTTTGGAGGGCTTTAATCCCTAAAAGGGGAAAGGCTCTGCTTCAGAGGGCCCAGAAGCAGAAGCAGCCTCTGATGGTTAGAATTTTGTGAAGTATCAGTCCCAGCCTGAATCAGCTGTGGTCAGTGAAATTGCCAAACAATATGTCATTATAAATTGTCAATGTTGAAGACATAACTGTATTCACTGTACATTATTCACTGTACATTATTCACTGTATAAATACACGTGAACAGTTAATGGACATACACAGTAAAGCTGTGGATTTAATGAAGTGGAGAGCAAATGAGATGTAGTACTATGCAGTTAGCACTGCTTGACGTGACCCAGGTCTAGCTAGTGGCGTGATGTGTGAGCAGATATATGGCCACACAGTATCCTGATCCCCAGCCTTTCCCTCAGCAGCTCGGACAACTATCTGGCACTGCAGTATGTGAACACGTATCCATTTCTCTAATTATGGCAGCTATCTATAAAAGCTATTGAAAACTGAGAAAAGAGAGAAAGAAAAAATAAATCCTCTCTAAAACCACATGGAAAACACTTCAGCTAGGAAATGGTAACAACTTGGTACATAATCTTAACTATATTTCTTAGCATGCTTGTATTTTGATAAAGGCTTTTATTTCATGAGCATATGTTATTTTTAAAATACACACTACACTGTAAAATGTTCTCCAACCTTGGAAGCACTCTTATACTAATGTAAAAAAAATCATGCATTCTAGAATATCAGGTTATACATCCGCTTGTCCTTAAACAAAATAGGGCTACATTTAACACCAGAATAAATTGTTACAAAGTTTCCTGAAGAAAAACCTTTTGTTAACGGGAAAAGAATATAAAATATTTTAAAAACATAAAAATAAATAACTTGAAATCTATTTTATATATTCTTCATGTGGAGAATATTCATATTAAATTATTAAAATAAATAAGTTGTATTGAAAATTACTACATATGGTTTTAAAGGTGAAATGAAACATTTGATGGATTCTGTTCTCTGCAGAAATTTTGATTCACAAGGAATTTCATGTTTTTCTCTAATTTCAAACAAAACAATCAAAATGTTAGAATTTCCAGTAATATGACAGTTCCAGAGCTTGATCACCTTTCTTTGCTTTCACAGAAAAGAGGTATGGTGTAATACAGATGGAAAAAAACCCTTGTTCAGCAAGCTAATCTTCACAGGTGGATCCTTTGTCTTGGTTCCATCTCATCTAAATAAGTAGACATTATGGTGGTACAGAACTTTGCCTATAAAGAGAAGCCAGACAGCCTAAGTTCTAAATTTGCTTAGCTTTGTGGCTAGCTACTTCAGGTTGTAAAAAAAGTATCAGGAGAATTTCAACTTTGTATCTGTTCAGGAACAACTGGAAGATCCCAGAATCACAGAATCACAGAATATTAGGAGTTGGAAGGGACCTCAAAAGATCATATAGTCCAACCCTCCTGCCAGAGCAGGATCACTTAGACTAGGTCACACAGGAACGTGTCCAGGTGGGTTTTGAATGTCTCCAGAGAAGGAGACTCCACAACCTCTCTGGGCAGTCTGTTTCAGTGCTCTGTCACCCTTACAGTAAAAGCGTGAAAGAGTGAGGTGAAAGGGTGAAAGTAAAAGAACCCTTATGTTCAGGTTGAACCTCCTATGCTCCAGCTCTCACCCATTGCCCCTTGTCCTATCATTTGACATCACAGAGAAGAGCCTGGCTCCTTCCTCCTGACACTCGCCCTTTACAAATTTATAAACATTAATGAGTTCACCCCTCAGTCTCCTTTTCTCCAAGCTAAAGAGATCCAGCTCCCTCAGCCGCTCCTCATAAGGGAGATGCTCCACTCCCTCAATCATCTTTGTGGCTCTGCGCTGGACTCTTTCAAGCAATTCCCTGTCCTTCTTGAACTGAGGGGCCCAGAACTGAACACAATATTCCAAATGTGGTCTCACCAAAATGTAAGAAAACTGACAGATAGGCACCAACTGGTGCAACATTTCTGAATATACATTTTCTATTTATAGTGTGTTGAGAAAGCTAATAAGGCATCAGGTTAGAATGTCGTGATTATAATTGCATGCAAACCCAGCCCCTTGCTGCAGAGGGGCTAATTCAGTTAACGGTTCTATCCAATGCAAAGTCAATATTGATGCTTGACAGCATTCAACTTGTTATTTATACCCAGCTCATTAGAAATGCTATTTGCTCCTGCTGCTGAAGAGTGAAAGCTAGCTCTCCAGGGTAATTACTTAACCCATGGGAGGATCTCTTTACAGTTAGTAATGTTTTCTGGAAGTCACTGCAAATAGATGTATGAGGTTAAACTAATTTATTGTTAAATTAGGGTGCGATCTATAGGGACAGGTTCTGACGGTAATTGGTCATGGCTGTCAACTGTTGAGGGATTAACTCAGAATTCATCTAGCATTTTCCAGTCAATGGACATATGTGGAAAACATTACTTGTCTTTGGACTGCTGTATTATTGTCTGGTATACAGACCAGCAGAAAGAGGGACTAGAGCGTCAGGAAGACATATAGTCAAATTTCTGAAGCTTTTTTAATTCAAGGACTCCTCCACTTCATCACAGAGGGGTTGGAATCAAGCAACAGTTTTTGCAGTGGTGCCAAAGTTATTCTGAATCTTCATTTTTTACTTCTCTTTTTGTTAGATTATCTTTGTTAGCTGAGTTGTGCATGTAGAAATGACTGTGTGTGGGGAAATGCTTACATTTCCTTAGCAAGAATTCTGCAAACTGTGATCTGATGCCTTACAGACCACCTCTGTCCTCTGTCCAGAGGGTAAAGTAATTGTTAAAACTCATTCTCTGGACCTAAACAAGATTATTATGAGTTAGCTGAGCACTGACTGAAACATCTGTTACTAAACATGGGTTTCTTGAGTATCTGAAGTTGTGGTGGGGGAAATAGAGTGCCTGCCTTCTCTTGAAGAGGAAAGATCCCAGTCTTGCTATGCTAACTTCAAGTATTTTCTCTCATTGCCATTGCCACATTGCCTAGCTGTACTAGCTTCAGTCATTATGAGACAGCAGTACTGGGAAACCTGGGCTGTTTTACGGAATTCTTCCCAGGTCTCTATTTAGCACACTGATTCCCACAGATCACAGCAAAGACAAGATAAATGTGCACAATATCATAGCTTCTTTTTAATGTGGTCATGAGGGGTAAAATAATGGTAAGAAGCTGGCGGAAAACAAGGACTGAGCAAAGAGAAGCTGAAGACTGTTTCTAGACAACTTTGCAACCTTACAGGGAGCAGATTTGGCAAATTTAAGATCAAAGATGGCCTCATTCTTCAGCTAGCAAGGCTTTGAAAGACACAGAAATAGCATGCTGCTTTCATGTGGAGGAGAATGCTTTGTATTCTTGACAGTGCAAGTGAAATGCTAACGCAGAGAAGGCAATTATACTGATACGACTAGTCCGGGAAACAGCATTTAGATGTGCTGGCTAATGGGGAGGAGCTCCAGAAATTTTCTCATTCCTTTTTTCATAAGCAGAGAGATTATCACCATTTTTCTTCACAGTACTGAACAGCAGGGAGGCAAATGCACAGAATGCAGTGCATTTAAGAGTGATATCACCAATATATCAGAAAACTGAACCCTGCTCCCTAACAGGTTTTTAATTCTGCACAACACAAGACTACTCTATTGACTGTTACATTTATGAAAAAGAAAACAAAATGAAATCCTGAGTGCTGCTGGTAGTGCTTTTGTTCATGTAGATATCTCACCTGCAGTGTAGACCTAGGCTAGTCAAAATATATTCACATGTTTTGTCCACCCCTCATTCACTCTGAACTGGCACCATAATTATCACACCATTTATATCAAATCCTGCCAGTTTCACAAGGGGAACATTTATTGTTCTGTACCCTCTTTGTTAGTCAATCAGATAAGATTGGAGATCCCTGACAACAGAAAAAAAACACATTAAAGGATCACCTTTCCATCATAGCACCCAGGTGATGAACTGCACAGCCATCCCCATCACCTGAATGAGCCCAAGCAGAGCTCTGCTCCAAAGAGTACCAATGTGCACTTGGTTGGATTTATGCTTGTTTATTTTAGAATAAATATAAAGCTTTATCAGATGCTATCTGTTCATCCATCTCTCACACCAACCTTCAGGAATCTTGGTGTCCAGAGAGAGAAAGGAGAGAAGGAAAATCTGTCTGGATTCAGGCAAAGTCTTACAATGAGGCTGGCAAAGGGGTTTAATGTGATTCGTCCTTTCTCCTTGCAGTTAGTCCCTGCTGCTCCCTGGCTGCAGCTTTCGCCTTGCTCTGAATGCAGACCTCACTGGCAGAGAGAAGCTGGAAGGACAGCACTGCTGCACTGAGCAGACTTCTGTGATAGGAAAACAGCTCTCCGTGCATGAGAATGCATTTTCTCAAAAGAAACTGATACAAGAGAGAAGCATGCATCCTTCTGCATCACAGAAACCCCAGAAGTAACCTCTGCCAGGCACTTGATAAAAAGCCAAATTGCCAGTTGCAGGAAGAGTGTCCTCCGCTGGCCTGTTCTGCCCAAGGTCAGAGGCACTGCTGCTAGCCAAGGTGCTGCATCACATGTCAGGCATTTACGGGGAGCAAATTCATTGTCTCAACCACAGCTTCCTCATATTGCATTTGCAGCACAGAAACAGAGAGGGAATTTGTCAAGCTTTCATTGCCACAAAGTGGAGTAGCTTTCGAAACTGTATCTTGAACACAGTGAAGAAAAGAATTTGAAGAACTACTGTAATTTTTAATGATTTTGCAAATTAAATCATCAGCTAAAGAGGACAATTGGCTTATTAGAAACTGTAAAGTGGAAAGGGTAGGGGACAAAACCACAATGAATTCTTAAAAATTGGGCATTTCTGCTTGGTTTCTTTTTCTGCCAGGAGGAACTTCAAGAAGAGCAGTTTCTTTTTCTGTAGCATAATGTGGGAAAAAAAAGCTAGGCAAAACCCATAAATATGATCACATTGAAAGGAAAGCTCATTTTGTATTATTTGCTAGAGCTGTTCCCATTTCCTAAGCTGATCAGCAGCAGCGTCTGACCTCTGGTGTCTAAATTCAGTATCAAACATTGCCAGAAATTGAAGCTTCAACTCATTTCATCCAGACTGACTGCTCTACTCCCTGGGTTGCTCTTATTTTGCCACATGGGAGATTTCAAAGAAATTTTGGCTGATGTCTTTAAGCTGAACACCAATGGAGAAGTCACAGGAGGCCATGAGCTGCCTTTCAACAGCAGCAATGTAGCACACTGCACCATTGATTTTACAAAGAAAAGTTTCCCCAAGTGTAAAATAAATGAAAAATGAAAAATAGATTAATGATGTAATATGGCCTCATAGCAATAATGATGGGGAGAACTTGGCAGCCACTTAAAAATATCTTAGAGTCACCGATTTTATTAGAGGAGGTTGGAATATCTTGTATCATAATTTTAACCAGAGAAGGTCTAGGAGCACAGATATAAGGTTTCCAGATCTAAGCTCTGTTAAGATGACAATTATTTGTATTTCACACTTTGACAGAATGTTCAAACTAACTTTAGAGCAGGATTTTTTTTAGGTGCACTGAAATTAGGCCTACCAAATAAACCTGTTTGATGCATACAGTTTGACAATATGAATGCTCCTTTCCCATTTAACTTCCACAGCCTTAAGGACTATGTTTTTGGCTTGTGTTTAATTGCAACCCTTTAAGTATGTATTCTACTCTAAACCTTTACTACCTTGAAGAAGAAGTTGTGAAGCTGAAGCAAAACATGAAATCACTGTATTTCCTGGAAATGCCTTTCAGTTTAGTTTTCTGGACAAAAGATTTAATGAGTGGAACCACTGCAAGGCATCAGGAAACATCTGAAAAAGTTAGTCACTTTGCCTCAAGGTAAATTATTGCTGAACTGCCAGGAGGATTAAAGATGAGATATGAACCTTTGCACAGCAGTCAAACATGGTCAGAGCCTACATGCTTCCCAAACCTCAGTGTCTGCCTGATCTCATAAAGAAAGCAAAAGAGCCACCAAGAATTAGGGAGAAGCAGACTAGGAAGAAATGAGTTAAGGAAGAAAACAACCAAACAAACACCAAAATATTTGAGGCCTCCAAAGTCTCAGAACTGTTGCAAACTGGAGACAGGTCACAGGAGATGGACAGGAGTGTGTGTTAGTAGGTGGGAGCAATGTGTACAGCAACCCTTCAGGTAGGAAACACTGTCATCAAGCAGCAAGTTATCCATTGCTTTCCCTGCCCAGCAGCAAAAGAGATTGCATTAGGGTGGATCCTTAACTGATACAGAATATTTAGGGAGGCTATGGAGTCCTCATGACTGCAAATTTTGGAGAAAAGGTTAGTGAATATCAGCAGTGGCTCAGATGTATCTGCTCCTCTTTATAGTAGAGGAATAGTCCTGGTGAGGTGTCAGCAACCTTTCAGGATCAGTACTCCATTTTTTTATTCTCTGCAGTGAGAGACAGAGGTAAGGCTGGCACCACTTCTGCCATCTGATCAATCCCAAAAGTTGAAGGAACCTCCCACAGACAGGATTCTATCTGCATTCAGGCAAGTTTTGGTAGATTGCAGCTTTCATCAAGTTTTTAACTCAACAGAAACCAGTGCATGGTATTCCCAAACAGCAATTATGACTTCTCTGGTGAATGTGCCATAAAGTGTTGACCCAGGAGCCAGGAACTGTCTCTACAGGTTGAATTTTCAGGGGTTTCTGGAAGAATGCTCCTTATTGTCTGTCAACATTGGACAGGTTGGCCAGTTCAGCACATAAGGCAGCAGCCTGCCGTGTTGCTCAAAGGCATAGACCAACAAGCACATTATTGCTGTCCTCAGGGGTGCTCTGACATGAACTATATCTCCCCAAGACCAGCCTGTTCCTGAGCACCTGGAGCAGTGTGGGATGATCCCTCTGTCTGCTGATGGCTTAAGTCCCAGTCCCAAAGGTCTGGGGTAAGAGCTTTTGTGTTCAGAGAGTATTCAGGGAAAAGTTGCCATGCTGGGATCTACTTGACAAAAAGTAACTTAAAAATGCAGGAAGTGATCTTACTGTTCCCTTATTTTTTAGATCTTTTTTTTTGAAGTAAAACCATCTACTAGGTGTCTCAAGAGCATCCAACTCAGGACTTAGGTGATTCAAAGTAGTTATTAAAGGACTTTAGGGTGACATCAGAATGACCTAACATTCAGTGTTTAAGACATGCAAATCTGTAGCTGACCAAATTGTCCTTGGCAGTTTCAGAATAGGTTCAGTTAAAACTTAAGACGGCTTTAAACAGAGCCATTATTGCAAGCTGATGCAGGCGATACCTGTATCTAGCAAGTCCAGGAAGTAGACCTACAATAAACAACATTGCTATATGACTAAATTTCCTCACATTTCTCATCTATAAGACATTCACCTGCTTTTTTTTGCTGTTAATTCAGCTTTGATCAAAGTAATGGAAAGTAGTAAGCACATGAAAATAGAGCAAGGAACGAATTACTCATTTGATAATGTAAGAGAAAATTTCATAAGTTTAGTTTTCATTTATACTGCATCCCCTGGATACAACTACAGTTGGAGCCAAGTGAATTTACAATGTATGTAAATTTTAGAATGAGTCCTTCAATATTTTATTTGAAAAAATTAATAATATTTATGAAGTAATTTTTGTTTTAATTGGCAAAAAAGCACCAAACTTTAATCAAGTCAGTTCCTCTACTGAACCTACTTTCTTGGCACTTTTGTAAATCTCATTACAAATCAAAAAATTGACAAATATATTCATATTCTCTTGAATGATCAGTAAACCAGGTGAGTAATAAAGAAAAATCCACTGACTAGTTTCCTTGAAAAATATTGTGTAATTCACAGGACCATTAACCAATTAAGCATTATTGCTTATTTATAATTATTTTATTTTATATAATTATATTGCTTATAATTAACATCATTGCTAGGATTGTGTGAATTTTTACTTCTGTCAAAAAATTCTTGATCTAGATTTTCAAAAGTGTTTAGGGATCTAAAGATATATTTGAGCATCTCATGGTTTTTCAGGACATTAAACAGGTTAGGGACAAAACTCCAGCTGAATTTGAAATACTAGTCCTTGAAAAGTAGATCAGTATGTAGCACCCTACTTAGGCAACCTGAACTGATTTCCATAGCTAAAATTACAAGAAAGTGATTATGAAATCTTATGTGTGTGTGTGTGATTAAAGTTTATTAAATGTTCAACATTAGGACATAAATTTTCCATGCTTTCGTCTATGAACAAAGGCACAAGATTTTTGTTCTTCATTTTGCTTTTGAGGGAAAAAGTGTTTGAAGGAAATTTTTTTATACTGGAAAAAATCTTGTTAGAAGCATATAATAGTCTTTCCTTCTTTCCCCATTTTCAATTACTTTAAAAGAATACCTCAAAAACTTTTGAAATTCTCAAACAAGATCCTGAAATATTTGAAAACAAAAGTGGAAACAAACTCATTAGTGTTATCTACAGACTTCTGGCTCACTTGAACCGGAGTCTCAGATTATTTTCAAAGCTGCAGGTGCACGCTCCTCTCTGTGTGCTTCTAACTCAAGACCACCAGACACTAATCTCACTCTGCATGTTTGTGTACGATATTTGCACTGTTTTGAAAGCCTGAGACATTCAAACATCTTGTTGAAGTAGAAATAGAAATTGTTTTAATCCTTACCATCTTCTTTGGTGCGGGTGAAAATTTGTTCACTTCTCACACCATCTCCAGCTCGTGTAAAAGCCAACACCTGAATGCTGTAGTTGGTGTATTTTTCCAGGCCATCAAGCTCTAGGGACGGCTGTGTAGTAGTGACGTTCTTTATCTCTCCTAGCTCTATAGAATAAAAGGAAATGGAGTTATTGCCAAGTTCAGTCTTCTCCCAGCTACTGATACCTACCATGGATATCTTGGGGATTAAATAGTGCACCAGAGAAGTGATGTTTCATTATTGTAAAATAGCAGTGAATGATAATAAAACAAAATAAATTCCTTTGTGGCCTGGCTTTCTACCGTTCAAAGCAGATCCAGTTTTCATTTTCAAACTTTTTTTTTGCAATTTTTTAAAATACAGGGCCAAGAATTTTAAATTTTTACAAGTAATAAGATTTTTCATAAAGGATAGATAACAAGAAGAGATTATTACAAAACATTCCCCAAGACAAAATCTAGAAAGTTATCTTCATAAAGATTTTCTAGTTTTGAGAAGACGGTTTCTCATAAGGAAAAAAAAAACAAACAACAAACCACCAAAAAAGGCCCTGTTATTTTGAAATATGTAGCAAGTGCTGCTGCAAAGCACTTGATGGCAGTAATACCAGCTAACAATAGATTTAAACACAGTAAAACCAGATTTACTTGCAGAGAGATGATGCACTTCATATGAATCTTTTCTGCAACAAGCAAAGAAGTACAACCCATATGGCAAGAAAAATAAAAAGCTTTACACATATTTAGGGCAGAAAATAAAGCTGAAAAAAAATGAAGAAAATCCAGTTTTAAGCACTGTATGAACATCATCTTTTTTTCATCCTGTTGTAGGACACAATGTAGGAGCTTAGATGTGCACTGATAATATTCACATAGGATCTGAACCAAAGACTACAGGCATCACCAAAAACATTTAGTTTTATATCAGTCATGTCTACATTTTTATTTATCCTTCTCATAGATTTTTTTTATCTTTCTTTTTAAATGTACAAAGGAATTGGTGGTTTATTTCCAAATATTTTTTACTCTGGCATTACCAGCAGTAAAAGTGGGCCTCTGGGTTACATTTCTACTCTGAGTTCCCCTTGCCACACTAACAGAGGCCAGGATTTATAAGATAGTTGTATATTAGAGTGAACTATGATCCTGATGGATGAATGCAAAGGGAAGGAGACAGCTCATTGCCTTAGAGCTGTGAAAATTCAGCAGGGCAGATAGCAATAAGGTCATGTGCATCTCAAACCCACTAGTATTTAATTTACAAGGAAAGACCATATGTAGAATTATCATCATGTGAAAAATTGCAGATTAGTAAGGTATCTCATTTCTTCTTTGATCATTTCACTCATTCTGTGCTGAGAAGTCTATTCCCCTAGGAATTATGTTAAGAGTACGAATTGTAAGCACAACAGAAGTGGCTGGCATGAAAATAACAAGCCTTTTCCAAAAATGTATCCTCCTTTTGCCTTCAGCTATGGAGATGAAAGACATCCTGTCAAAAAATAAGAAATAAACTCTCAAGAAGGCAACTAGATAAGCAAACAGATAATCAACCAAATTAAATAAAATACAGGATTGGGCAGGTATGTTCTAGGTACTTATCATAATTCTTTATAAAAGAAACCTGCTGGACTTTGTAACTGAGATGAAACTTGCTCAGGTCACTTTGAGTACTTTGGCAGGTCTATGGAGTGTTCCAAACCCACAGTGGAAGCCTTTCCTGAGGTCCCCTCCAGTCAGCTTTGCCATGCCTGCTATCCTGTCAAAGCCCTACAGAAAATGGCTTCTTTCATCAATACATGGGACTATCTTTAAGCCAAAGAGAAAAGCAGAGAGTAAAGGCCTACACGTGACTTTTTACTTGGTAATAACTTTATTTCTCTCACCTCCGTCCAAGAGATTGGCCCAGTAGATAACCCTGAATCCTTGCAGAATCCCATTCAAGGTTTCTTTCGCCAACGTTGACCATGAGATAGAGATTGTTTCTGGTGATGTGGCGGTGGCTTGCACATTCCCTGGAGGGCAACTGGGCACTAGAGTAAGATAGTCACCATTTTTAACTCAATGAATACAACTCAGTGTTTACCCCTCAGCTACACTTTCAGTTTTCATTGCTATCTCACCACTTGTTATTTAATTAGCAGTTACACGCTGTTAACAATGTGGAACCTTTAGTCTTGCTAGGCTCCACATCTTTCTGCAAGTGCAGCTGATTTCCCTTTGATATACTGCTTCCTCACTTGCTGACCAGTCTTTTAGTAGGTTTTTCATTGCTTCTTTTGAAAGAGAAATGTGTTCTAATGCTGAAATATATGGAATATTCTGTAAGCAGTTTAAATATTTTTTTTAAAGTTTGCAGCCAAATTGCCATAGTTTTCACTCTTAAATTGTGTGTGGTGGGACAAAAGTGGGAACTTCTTGAAAAGATATTGAAAAAATTTTCATAAAATATTTTCACTGACATTTAGAACAATTGGAATAATTCAGCCAAATCTAATGAATTTTCTGTTGGCCATTTACTGTCAAAGCAATACAGCAGTATGAGAATTTGGCACTGCTTTTAAAGCTCATGGCATCTTTAATTCAGAGAGGGACCTAAAATTGAGTAACAACCAAAAAATGTTGCCAGGAAAAGTAAGCATGCCAGATTCTGAAGAAAAAAACCTATTTACTATAATATAAATTACAAGCATGTGTGAGTGCACTGCCTTCTGAGTTCTTGCAGTGATCTGTCTAGGCCTAGAAACATTTAAAGTAAATTAAAAACACCAGTCTTCCATGAAGTATATGTCTCAAAAGCTGTAGCTCTTGAGAATTTCAGATGTGTGCTACTCCATTTCCCCCACATAAAAGGTTAGATTCCTAGTTGGCACTGGCTTCAGTACACTGATGCAAATTTACGGTAGCTAAAAATCTGACCTACGCACTATTCTTCAGGATTATTATTTGCTTTCATGCTCCTCTAAAATATTTGGCCTTCTTTTGAATGTGGAATAATACTTTTTTTTTCCCACTAGAGGACTCCCTCTCATTGTTTGAGAAGTGCTTTTTATGCAGTCTGAGAAAAAGAAAAATGTAAATTGTTCCTTGGATTAGACAGGTTAATTTTTTTCTGAAATAGCAATGATTTTTCTCTCATTAGTTTGGACATTCTTGAAAAATATCACACATCTCTCTTTAGGCTGACAAAATAAGGTATTGTGCAGTACAACAGCTCTAGGTTTCACAGCAGATTAATTTAAAAACAAAGCCAACAAAATTAACAGTATCACTTCACCTTTCAGTTTTACTTCTTAGCATCTCAAAACTATGATGGTAGCACTTTGAATCTATGGGATCACAAAATTTGCAAATATGTGAACATCAGAGCGACAGGCTTCTTAATGAAAGCTATGGTCCTAATCAATATAATTCATAGCAGGATTTATCACATTAGTAGGTTTATATTTATTTCCCTTGATGATTCTACAACTCTTGCAATGAAAATTACATGCTTATTGGCCAGTCTTCCCATCCAGTTGTCTACTACACCTGACACCTGTGAAGTCTGGTCTTCTGTTATCCCCACTAGAATAATAACTAATCAAGCAATACATGTAACAAGGTAAAAAGAAATAAAGAAATACTACTATGTCCCATGATAGCTGTTTGCCAAGGACCTACCATCCTCAAGAGTAGTGGTGATGATTTCCTGAGAAGAAGGTCCTATTCCAGCCCGGTTGCAAGCCTGGACTACCATGCCATATTGGGTGAACTTTTTCAGGTTATTCAGCGTATAAACTTCACTGTCCCCAGTGGTATCAATACTGATGATATTGAACTGGAAATTTCCCCCTGCACTGTACTCCCGATAACCTATCTGGTATCCACGAATAATTCCATTTTGCAAGTGCTTCTTTGGAGCCTAAACAGAATATGAAAGATTACACATTAAGTACATGTCTCCAAACTCGTTCCCCTTAAAATTTTTGAAATATACATGAAATTGACATTTTTTTCCCTACCAAATGCAACTCTATTTCTAAGTAACAATTAAAACATACTCCTTGCACATGAAACAGTAACATTTTACCATGAGATATAAATTTTAGGTGCATTTTGTTCTAATTTGTGCATTTTTGTGCTAAAAGAAACACCTTTGAGTGGTTTATACACAGAAAAACCTTATAAGGAGATATTCTAGAGTAATAATTTGAATTTATAATGTTCTGTTCTCTTATCAGGTGAATCAATCAAAGTTGAGTTGATAAGGGTATATTTGCATTACAGGCCTACCGTTCACTACTAATTGTGTTTTTGCCAGAAGCCTCTATCATTCACTTGCTAAATCTTTAGTAAGGCATTTATTGATCTGTTGAAGGCAGCCATATAAGTTTATTCAGCTAGATCCATTAGGAAAATTTTACGCTGTGCTTTGAAATATGCTTCTGTTCATTCAGTGTGTAGTGTGGAGAGATGATTAGATAATGAGTGCTGAAGTCAATAATGAATTGGAAAGCAGGGATTTGCATACTGAATAGCTACTAAAAAAAAGGTGTACAATATCTGGCATTGAAGAATATGGACAGTAAAAAATTGTTGGCCATAATTATATACCATATTTCTCCGTCACAGTGCAAAATTCCCTGTACCTGACTAGTGGAAATAATTTCTGTACTCTGCAACAGAAAATGTAGTATAGAGTAAAACAAGGATTGTCAACCTAGGGAAAAAGCCTATTATTGACAGAAATACCTATTAAAATACCATTAAAATTCCATACTGGACTAATTTCAATATGTTAATATGTTTCTGTCTGATTTCCTATGTGTATGAGGTATAATAAGTATAAACATTATAAAGCACAGTTTATAATCTATGGACAAAAAGCTATTTCAAATCCTCCAAACCTCTTTTAAATTCCCACCAGATGCCCACGAGCTCATCCATTCCACTGACCCATAAAAGATGCCTTTGTGACGCAGTTTATCGGCAATGAGTTAAACTGGCACAAGCAGCAATTTCTGTTGTTACTGTATAGCACTAAATCTACCGAGGAACACGTTCTCAAGAGGAATACTTTTTTGTGGCACAGAACCAGTGAGTTTATAGTCAACTGGACTGAAGTCTCACTGGAGCCAATAAAACCAGCACAGGATTTGCCTTTCATCCACTACCAGCACGTCATTGCTGTGTAAAAAAACAGCAACCTCTCTGTATTTTAGATGTTGTCACTGGATGGATCTGACTGACTGAATTATCTATTCAGATGGTTTATTTTTTTTCTCCCTCCTGCCTTCAGAAACAGAAACAAAATATGAAGCAAGGATATAATTTCCACTGTACTACTTTAGCTCCTCTGACACCAATAAGTTCTCTGCAAGCGCAATCCTGTCTGTTCACATGTAGAACACAGAATTAGGAGATACGGGTCTTGTGCACCTTGTAAGGTACACTGCAGTGATTAGAACTGTCTTTTTGAAATCTAAGAGCATAATTGTTTCCTGTTTGAATATTTCTGTCTTCTGTTGTCAAAAGATCTTTAGAAACATGTAGGTCTTTATTATCAAGACACTTCGTTTGCAGGTGTGTTACCTATTCTGAACAACTGAATGGCTTCATGATCTTTAAAGGATTGCAAAAAGTATTTTTTTTAACTGGATTTAAAAACCCTTTTGATTTGGGTGGAAACTAAATCCAGATTGTATGTTTGTTTCTTTGAGATCCAGATACGTTCATAAGATAAAGTTATTTCATTCCATCTGAGAAGAAAATAACTTCAACACATTTAAATAATTAAATATTTCAGTGGTGAATTGTTTCATTATTTGAATGATTTCAAATTCTGTTACTAGCCATAGAATTTTGCATAGCTAATACATTTTTATAGGCATTGTCAGTGTTGATGAGAAGCGGTGAAAAGACTGAACTAACATAATCTAAACATCTCAAATTGACTAAATGACAAACAGTTTGGACATAACAGCAGACAACTCAATAAGTGTTATGCAGGGAGGAATGCTTTCAGACAACGTTGCAGGTCACTGTCTCTTTTCTGAACGTGTATCAGTCTGGAGGCACCAGTTTAATCATGCCAGGACATCACTTCTCTCCACCAGTGCTGGATTCCATCACAGCTTGGAAAATCCTCAGCAGCCAGTGTAGAGATTTCTTGTCTCAGACATTAACATGCACACTGTTGCACTTCTCAAGATCTAAAGCATCTCCTAGTTAAAGCCTGCAACTGGAACATTTTCATGAGTTACCACAGGTGGCTTTTGAACAGAAGTTGTTGCACAAACACACATCACACACTGAAATCACAAGCAACATCCATAAAACACAGGTACCACATAATGTAGTGCTTTTATCATTTTGTGAATGGCACGCACTGCCTACTGCTACAGAAGCACACTGAGATGCTGTGTGGATGTACACTATATACTGTAAGGTATGTACACTATATACTGTAAGGTATGTACTGTATATCAAGAAAAAGTGAGCATATACCTTGTACAAATAGGTTACACAAGCATGTAGCGCATATATTGGAACATATATATCATAGTGTGAACCGAATGGAACATAATGATAAAACTGAATCATACATTTACTATGCATTCAAATGTTCTCAGAGCAGAACTATAGCCAGAATAGCCTCTTCATTGTGAATTCTGCAATTATATACTTTCTCATTTTGAATTGGAATAAAATGACAAATTTTACAGTTTTAATGACACATCTTTATGATTATTTCAGGTCAAGAGAACTTTTTCTTTAAATGAAATATTAACTTTTTTTTTTCACTTTGAAACATCATACAATATAAAACAAGCTCAAAGTCACTTCAGAACAAAGCACTGAAATGTTCTGCTCCACAAAACTTCAAATGCTCCTTGTTAACACTATCTAAATGATTCATTTTGGATTGACTTTTTGCACAAACAAATCATATTTGATACATATGCTTTCTTGTGTATAGGCATATTTCTGGTAGAAATTTCAGTGAAACATTTGTCCATGACTAAGTACTCATAGGGAAAAATTATTGTTAATCTTGTCAGCAGTCATAGAACATTATCAAAAAGTATGTTTCAGTCCATGATCTTACTGCTTATCTCATAAAAGACAATATTTGTAAAATAAGGTATCAATGACTATTGTGAAGCGTGGCATTTTATAGTTGTGTGCATGTGTATATGCATAAAGAGGAGAAGGAATTGTTCCCATGTCTAAATTTAATGGGTTCATTTGCCTTGTAAAGTACTACAAGAAAAAAGAATGAATATTTTCATGCTCTTTTCTAAATGAGAATTCCTGATTAATTCCCATTCTCTCTGCACCGTTTTAAACTATCGAAAAGTGCTGAGTATTATTTAAAAATTCAATCTGAAATCCAATATTCTATGTGGACACATAGAAATGGGATTAAATACATCACAGATCTATAAAACTTTGCTTAGCTAGGATTTTCTAAAAGTGGGCTAAGAGAAACTTTAAAGGGAGATTAATGGCTGTAGCAAGCTGCAGAAATAGAAATTAATACAAATGAAAGATAATTCATGTATTATTCTCTGCTCCTTTTGCTATTATTGACACCATTTGTATCTAAATGAGGTTTGTCAACTTCAAATATAACTGTGGCTCTCATCACAATCTTTTTTATATCCTGTCACCATAGGTTTTCATGGCAAAAGCCACACACGACTCCCAGATAAAAATGACCAGGGTATTACTTGTTTTATTTTCTTCCTTTTTTGCCTCCATGACAATATAGGATTGATCTCATGGAGTATTTAATTTTTCTTAAATATTATATAATGCACAATGCAATGAGTCCCTTCTGCAGAGCAGTGCATCATAGGGATCTACCCAAAAGTGAGGATCCAGCATAAGACTAAACTATAGTATGTCTGTGGGACCATCTTAAAGTACGTTGTTTAGTAATGGACTAAAACTGCTCTGGCTAGAAAAGAACTGCAACAATTCAAGAGAAGTGGATGTCTCACTCCTCATTCGAGACTTCTTAATTAGGGGGACTTCTTGATCAGCTGTTACAAATTGGCATACAGGAAATAATTAACTCCAGCAAATATAGGAGTAGGCAAGAACTAACCTTTCAGGAAGGCAGTTTAGTGACTTCGCTTTTGTAAAGGAACTTTGAGGTCAAGGAAAACAATTAGGTTTCAGCTACATCTGCTTACTGCAGGGGGGTTGGACTAGATGATCTTTACAGGTCCCTTCCAACCCAATACATTCTATGATTCTATGATTCTATACATCTAACATCACACAGAAACTTAGCACCCATCAGATGTGCTAATCTACCAGCAGATAAAGCCATGACTGCAAATCAAGGCAAAGAGTTTTCAAGCTGAGCACACAGGGCCTTGACAGCACAAAGGTCAAATGACCAGAATTTCAGTGAAGTGTCAGTGGACCTTTTGATGTCCATCCTTTCACAAGCAGACTGCCAGAGCTTCTGCTGCTTGCAGAAAAGCACCTCATGGGATCTTGTGGCATGATGGGGCCATGGGCTACCTCTTGCTAGAGCTACCAGCATCTTCCTAGCACTTTGGCTAGAGGACATGCCACCAGGAGCAGCTCACTGCTACACTGACTCTTGTGCCGCTTGACCATGTCAGATGCTGCTGGTCATAAATTAAAAGGTTTAACAGATTTAACAGAGACTGGATCTATGGGAATAATATCCTGAAGTTTTATGGGAGACTAGGTATTCACTAGAGACTAGGTGTGCCATCTGGCAGCTCAGTCCACAAAAATCTCTGAATGCCTAGCCAGCATCTGCAGTGTGTGGCCCAAGGTTTACCTGGAGGGGCACAGTTCTGGAAGCATGAACTCACCTTTTCTGGTCTGGATATATGCTGCATGGGTACAAGCAGACATTTCCAAGAGCACAGGTAGCTCACAGCTTAAGCTCATTCCACTTGTGAAAACCATCTCTACGCTCAGCTCATGAGACTTGCTAACGCAATAGAGTATATATGCAATACATAGCTTGTTTCTGTCATTATTTTGTTATATTAGATACTGATCATTACTCCACAAGTATTCACAAATCAAATTCGAAACATGATCTTGAGAATACAATTCCAGCTACTCTTTTGACATGCTTCTACTCCCTAGACAATATCTAGAGATCAAGACACTAATGTGCACCTGAAGTGGCCTAGAAGTACAAATTGAACCTTATTTTAGACAATGTTATTGAAATGTAGGTGTGGAAATTTTTCTATTTTTTCTTGTAGCTTCCTGCACACATCTGCATCTATAAAATTTAATGGCAAATCTTCAGAATCACAAATGGCATCTATAAACTCCAGCAGGGAACCAATGGTGCTATTTTCTCTTGTAGTATTTGAAAATATCCCCCAAAGTGAACTTTAAAAAATCAAACAAAGCCTTTCAATCTGCCTACCCATACATCCATAAAGACAAGGTCATGCATAGAAGCTTAGAGGTTATAGTTGACTATATGCAATGGCAGTCACACTTCTTGAGTGCTTTAAAAAGAAATAACTCATTAACAACCCATCTTATTTCAGTTGTTGAGAGTCACTGTACACTTTGCATTGCTTCAATAGCTATTTCCTTTGCTCTACTGACTGTATGCTGCATTTAAATCCATGCTTCATGTATGCTTTTTGTAAATAGATTGTTATGTTTCACTTCAACCATCAGGAAAGCCTAGTGACTACAAGCCTTTGGGTTTTGGAAACCATTTGATGAAAACCAGCACTGATATAAGTTTAAGATATGGTTAAGATCTAAGAATCAGCACTGCATTTGTGATCTGTGCATAAGAGGTCTGAGACTGCTGCTTTTGAAGCTTAATACTGAAATGTCTCATCAAAACAGAATTTTTAATCCACAATTTTTAAACCACCATTGAACTACTAAAAAATCTTGACAGCTGCCTCTGTATTAGTTGGACATCTCAGTAATTATATCTCCCCCAGCTTTGTACAGATATCACACACTATAGAAACCTATCTTTTCTGGAACCAACTCAAAACTAACACAAGATTGTGCTGGTTATTTATTGTATAAATAAATTAAAAAATAAATAAGCACCCTACAGTTTTTTTCTATAGTTAAGAAGCAGCGGCTCAGTGTTACTATCCTGACTTTCTGGATGGTCCATATCGTGGTGCAAAATACACATTATCCACATTTGCAGGAGTAATTAACATCACTATGAAAATTAATGAGTATGATGCCACCATCCTGCTCCAGCACTTAATACTATATATTTCAGGATCTTAAAGATACAGAATTATCAATACAATTTGGAAACTACCATTAATATTGAGTTTACAGTACTGTAATTAGATAGCTTTATTCTGTCTGTTACAATGTACAAACAGTATATAGCACAAAACCATTTAAAGCATAGTTTAAGTACCTCCGATATTTTACCGAAAGCATTTAAAACATTCTGTGGTTACCAAAACACTGGGCAAAAGCTAGAAACATTAATTGAATCACAAGACATGCCAGATTTTTAAATAATATTAGTTATATATATATTAAATCAGCTGCTCTGATTCATCAATTCTCATGGACTATACTGAGGCACTCTATTGCTTTCTCTGTGCAGACATGCCTTCAGCAAGGGTCCAGCCCAAAGTCCATTGCAATGGGAAAAACCTCCCATTGGCTCCAGTGGTTTGCAGAAATTTTGCCCAAAACCACAGTAAAACTCTGTGAGTGCTCATTTTCCAAGTACATAGCCTTATCTCTGAAATCAGAAGGAAGTAGGAAATGTTATTGTCACTGGTACAGGTAAGTGGCTGCTCCTATTACTCTCCAATGGGAGGTTCTTTCTTTGCATAATACACCAGTCTTAATGGCCAATAACTTTTGCAAAAGTATCTGTAAGGTTTCTCACAAATAAAATAACTGATCCACAGCTGTTATAATACTTCCATCAATGGAATCTCTTTGAATGCACCAAATTACTGTCAGGGTCTGTATTCCTGGCTGTGCATATTTACCTTCCAGGTGACCCTAATGCTTTGTGAAGATATAGGCTCAAGTTGGACATCCTGAGGTGGACCATCAGGAGCTGAAAAGAGAGAAGAGAGATGGATCAACACTGGCATTCACATCACACAGAATTCAGCCCTTTGTATGATATGTCACCAAGTTAACACACCAGCATCATAGAGATTTGGACTGAGTCAATGTCAGTATGGAAAACTGAAGATATGACTTCACGAAACAAAGCCAGAGCGTATTGTCTTCCTGATTCAGACATCATCTCTGACACACAGTGAAACAGAAAACATGCCAAGATATGGCAACCTAACAAATAAGTATGAATAACTGTGACTTTTCTTGTTTAGTGATACGTTCACAATGTTGCTGCTCTCTTGTAAACAGGCAAGACATATTTTCAGCCATCAGAACTCTGGGTGATACAAAGGTAGCAGAAGCCATTTGAAAGCAGATGAGATGGGAGCTCCTCAGCCAGTCTTCACCACGTCACACATTTTCCTGTGAGATCCCCTTTGTTCACTAGAAGCTGAGCATGTTCAGTCAAATATCAAGTGTTTTATACACAAAAACTTGCAAATTTTACCCTCCCCTCCCTCTGCAGTGTAAGTATCCCAGCCTGGAAATCAGGCAAAAATTCACTGTCAGATGGAAAAAGCATGCTGTAGCTCCTGCCTGAGTCAGGAGAAGTTTCGTTTGTTGAGTTTCATTTGCTATTGATATGCTGCCAAGTGTGTGCATGATGCTTTAAAGGCAAATGAAAACAGAAGGCCCTGAGTCTAGGGGAGCCTACTTGTCAGCTGGGCAACTACAAAGCAGACCAAGAATTGGCTGGGATTGAATGGAGAGGTGTGAAGCAAATTGCTTGCTCAGCGAAGTAAATAACTGTAAAAGAAAGATCTGAAGAAACGAATGGAGTAATCTCGAGCTGCTGTAGAGGTTCCTTTGGTGCAGAATATGTCCTCAGTAAAAGGTATTAAATTAAGTTTAATAGCATGACAAAGGAAGTAAAGCAATAAAAAGGGTGAGATGGGGCTGTTAGAGGTGGAGCAGCAGAAAATGACAGCTGCAGTGAAAGGAACCAGAACATTTTTCTTTAACTGATGAAAACAGAGAGACTCAGAATATAGCCTATAATATGTATAAGTTATTAATCATGCCCTATTCTGTGCCATTCTTGACTGTCTCTCATATGGGAAATTGCCGAAGGTTGAAAGAACTTCCTTTCCATTCCCCTTGCATTAATGTATAGGAAGGAGAAGACTAAAAAGTCCACTGGCAAAAATGAAGTCTCTGATTTTTTTTAATCCTGTCCTTGATACTGTACCCCTGCTGACAAACATGAATGTAATTATTCCAGGTACATTATAATGTAGTGGAATTTGAGCAAAGCATTTGATGCTAAAAATGGATCTTAAAACACACTGCTTAAAATATTGTTTTTTCCTTGAAAGACCTCAAATGTTTTTACAGACCCAAGTAGCTAACTGTTTTTGGCATACCATGGTGAAATGTTAAATGAGCAGTCATTTATTTTACGAACAGATAGAGATTGTGACAAAGACATACAGAAGACACAGATATCCCAGCTTCCTCTGTTGACTTTGGTATAGAACAACAGCCATAATGCTTTTGTTTTTCTGAAAAGCATTAGTGCAAGTGTGTACTTACAGTTTATTTCCCAACATAGGAACTAAATATGGTCATATGGAGAGAAAGATATGGTCTGTAAGCTTTGAAATCATGCCATTCTTGACTATCCTTTTGCTATAGAGACCCTTTACAGTTTTCTTTCTAATAGGTAGTGCTGGCCAACTTAGGTCTCTGTAATTTCTAATACACTATCTGTGCCCCCTTGCCAATAGTAGGGTCTGAGTTGTTCAGTTTTTATATTGTCTATCTTGGACATTTATTTTGCTCCCTTCTCATTACCTTTTCTCTCATTCTCTGCACCCATGCTGTTCTCCATTTCCTATTGTAAAAGCAGAGAGCAGAAGTAAACAGTGATCAAAAAATGATGTTCTTGTACATTGCACACCACCTGAAATCAAAACCCAGGAGACAAACATCACATACTCTGCCTAAGCCTGACCTCCTCTCCTCCAATTGTTCCCTAGGTAGATCAGTGACTTTTGAATACAGTTCCACACTGCTGGTCTTTTTCTCCAAATAGACAGCTTCTTAAAAGACAACGACAAAGGGATCAATTATTCTGAAACTTGGTTACAAAGAACTGAACAAAATGTGATGTTAAGGTTCCACCCTGTTCATGGGGAAGCTGCTTTTTATTTCAAGGCCAGCTGCTGATCCTGACAACTTAATTATCAGACAAGAAAAACTCAGCAACTAAGAATTATTCCAAGCATGGGTGAGTAAAAGAGAATAGGAGAGTAGATGCAAGACCCAACTCTCTACTTTGATGTATATGCACAAGGAAGAATAGGCATTTTGCAGATACAAATGATGCTGGCTGAAAGAATGGATAGTCTGTTTTCTCTAGTGATTTCATGTTTTCATTGAGCAAAAGAAGAGAAAAATCCCAATCAAATGATAAATATTTTGCAAACCAACTATTCACTGCTAATAAAGCTGTTCATCAAAGGCTTGTAAATATGTGAATACTCTTCACTGCTTTCCTTCCACTAGGATGAAAAAAACACCTGGTGAAAAAAAGAAATACATCTCATTGTCTCCTGCTCGCCTTGCTTTTCACTGTGAGTCCTTGTGTCTTGTTCTTATTCAAAAAGTCCCTCAGAACCAAACACGTTGTCTTGGGGTATATTTTAACTGTTTTAAATTCACCCCCAGAGAAAATTAGCAGGAATTACACAGTTGTATTCATATAAGCTGAATTGAAATTCTTGCAAAATAAGGGTTTTCACTGCCGGGACACTGTCGCCCATATACTTACATTATGGTGTACCTCTCAAAATCCCCAAAGAAGGAAGCTTTGCTGACTTAGCATAAAGTAACAGGAAAAATAAAATCAGCAAAATAAAAATGTGTTTTCAAATACAAATGAACAAGCTTCTGTCTGTTCAAGACTTTTTAGAGTACTTCCACTCAGTTTCAGTGGGCTAACGGTGTTGAAGATGCTTGGGTTACTCTCAACTATACACCTTCGTACTTTGTATGCAATTGCAGTGTATACTTGGTAGAAGTATTTAGGGTCATTCAGCATTTCCATTCCTTATTGCTGAAACAGAGAGCTGTAGCCCTCTGCTTTTCACCTGCAAGTCTTTTGCACTGTTACATGAAACATGTAGGACTTGGAACGTGATAGCATGCACAAGACTGTGCTGTCCTTAACCATCTGCCACTTCTCCTAGCCCTGAGAAATAAAAATAAGATGGCACTGGAAGGCAGCAATTCAAATTCACAGAAAAGTGGCTCAGCCATCAAAGTGAAAATGCCCTCGGAGCCCTCCTGGTACAGAAACCTGTAGTGATGTAAAGGAATATATGGCAACAAAGAACAGGGGGGTGACACTAACTAATGACAGTCAACTGACTTATACAGTAATCAGAAAACTAAATGGTAGGTAGGGTAGCAGATGAAATGCTAAAGAAAATATTATTAATGTAGATCAATGTACTCAAATGGAGGTAGCTTAAAAGTTACCCCTAATAATACCTGAGCATATAAGGAAAGCCACAAGACCCCCAGGGGAGGAAGCACCACTAAAAGTAGGATGTAGTTGATTGAGTTGCCTGACTGTAGATGTAGGTGTGCCGTTTCCAGTACTCCAGGCAGAAAATCTGGAGCACAATGTCTTCTCTGACCACTAGGTGCCACTGAACGGCTTTAATTACAGGCCTTTCCGATGAAGTTGCAAAAGTCACAATGTTTTATGGGAGCAATTCAGTATTTCTTTCGATGCAGCTGCAGCAACATAAGCACCATTTCAAGTAAAGACTCGTCAAGTCAAAGAGCAATAATTCCCAGCACGATGCTGCAAAACCAGTATGTACCTGCTTCGTCGGTAGTGATGGTGAGCTCATTGCTGGCCTCACTCTTGCCGATGCGATTCTTGGCGTACATGCGAATGTTGTAAGTCGAAGAAGGGTGGAGGTCAATGATAGTGGCTTGGTTCAGCTGAGGAGAAACATCTTTGGTTCTCTGAACAGAATCCCAAGAGTCTATTTAATAAGAGATTAAAATAAAACAGACAAATAAAAGATGATGTTAATGTCACTAACATAAGTGTGCAGTTAAACCATCTCAGCCCTGGGGTCACCAGCAAATATGAGGAAATAGCTACTCCTTTGCCCTTTTTTGAGGGAGTGGTGAGAGCAGCAAAGATCCCCCAGCTTTGTGTGCCTGCCTGTGTGTGTACATAGTGGCTTTTTACCATTGTTGCATTCGAACAACTATGAAAAAGATGAGAGCTGCTGCCCCACAGGAGTCCTCACTCCGAGAGAAGGTTGATTGTGCTCCAAAAAGGGGTGACAGGGAGTTAATGAAGAGGAATGGAGGGCTTTTAGACTAGCAGAGATCAGGCAGAAAGAGTGATCCCAGACTGCAGAAGCTCAGACCATAGATGAACAGTGAGCACAAGCTTGGAGAATTTAGACATGGGGCTCAGCACCATCCAGGACAGATGCTATTTCCCTGAGTTATGTTAGGCTACAGGAGCAATTTAATACAAGGTGAATGTAGAACCCTCTTAGCTGTTTGCATGTATCTGTAAAAGGAAGAGTACATTGTTATTATTCATGCTTACTATTCATCTATCTGTTGTGTTTTTAATAAGTTCTCCAGACATATAATAGGAAAAAGGATGGAAATTGGCTAAACACAATAACCCCTCCTTTCCATCCAAGCATTCAATTGCTTCAAACAAAATAATATAATCTATCAGTTTAAAGCATCTTGGTGTCTTTTGCGAGTTGCCATCCTTCATTTCTTTCTTACTGCAGGCAATGTTCCTCCTTTAACCTCTGCAGCATCCTATGGGGGATGTCACTGGAGGCTCTACAGGAGTGTTTTACAGTATGGGCCACTGTAAGCAGGATTGCAGAAAGCTCAGCAGATAAGAAACATTAGTTTAAAAATAGAAAGCTTCCTCAGATACAAAATATTTGCACATACTGTGTAAATTCTTTTATATGAGCTTGCTAAAAGATACACAAGTTGTCACAATGGCATCTGCAGCTTGGCTGATTACAGAGACTGTTGTCCGTGAGGCTTTTTTTACCCAGAAAACATTTAGGAATCAGACATTTAAGTGCTAAACAAATTCACTTGAATATATTTTTCCTTGGTAACTGAGTTTGTCACAGCTTCCTCTGAAGAATACTTTCAGAAATTCTAAAGGAGTTATCTGCAGGGAATGCAACTATAATGTGCTTTCAATCTGCTACAACTTCTCAGAATTTCTTAAATTTACAGAATTTTAACCAGCAGTTACACTCCATTGTATTAAATGTTATACAAGCACAGAAGGAGATTCTGTCTCTTCCAGTTTACCATGCCATCAGGAAAGGAATTAAAAAAAAAAACCAACTGAAGAGTTGTTTGGTATGAAGATTGTGTTAAATTTTACCTGATGAGGAAAAAAAATTATTTTCATCTAGCTCCTATACTTTCAAATTGCTAAGGTTTTTACTTGGTTGTTTGAAATACTGATCTCTGGGTGGCAGGACTCTGTAGTACATAGTAACTGCTGAAATAAAATATACATATTTGAAAAATACTTGTGACTCTTAGTAGATTGAGTCATGATATACCATGGAGAAAGAGAGAGCCAAAAACTCACAAACTTCTGTTTTTCTAATTGTAGGTTTCCAGTATTTATCTATGCATGGACTTCAGGAGTTTATTTTGATACATGTATCCCCTTTTTCAAGGGGAAAACAAACCAACAAAAGCAATCCTTCCAAACTGATTCCAACCAAAGAGATATTAATAAATTTCTCTCCTAAGCTGTTTTCAGTTTTGAAAAATTTATATGTTTATAAGAAAAAAAGAAAGAAAAAAAAGTTAATTTTGGTTTCTTCTGACAAAGCCTAAAGATGTTTTTCTCATGTCCACGTGGTAAGTATTTTAGTGAGGTATTAAGTGTTGGCTCTTCTGGTTTTTATTGTTGTACCAGACAGCTCTAAAATCTACTTACCTGAAAAGACTGAAAAAGCACAGAAAAAAAGCAGCAATGGGCTAGCAAAAAATAAATAAAGAAAAGAAAAGAAAAGAAAAGAAAAGAAAAGAAAAGAAAAGAAAAGAAAAGAAAAGAAAAGAAAAGAAAGCGTGAAATTTTTAACATATTCTTTATTCCACTCCTAAAATGTTACACGCAGGCACTTCTCAGTGTTTTATAAAATGCACGCTGACACAACGATGTATAAAAATTTATATTTTTATGAAAACCAGCAGCTTTCCACTTGTTCCTAGAATGACGGCCGAAGCTTTGGGGTTACTCCGTGGAGAACAATTTGGGCCCGTTTGGTCTTCTAGGCTCATTTCGGGAAAGTGAGGGGTTCCCCGTTCCCAGGCCCGGGACGGCGCTGCCACCCGGTGGCCGCTGCCGGTACTGCACCCACCTGGCCAGCCCTTTGGCAGGTTTGCGGGGTGGGAGGGAAACCTTTCAGGTCTGTGAAGGCATTTGCGTCCTGAAGGATGCTCAGTTCACAGGTGAGCACAAGAAAGCCCAAGGCACAGTCCTCTCCCTTCAGATCAGGGGTTAAGCAGAACTGAAGTTCAGTTTGCCCCTTAAACTCTAATAACACCTAAAACAAAAAAAAGGATGAGGAGAGAGGCACAAAGGAGGACCCACATACCTCTTCTGGTCTTTAAACCTTTTGATACACCTCTGATGGAAAAGCCTGATGGCTGGTTTCAATGATGGGCCAGGCCTGAGTGCCACAGGTGCACTTTTGTACAGACAAGCATTGTATCCAAGTACTGAAACAGCCTGAACTGCTGAGCTTCCACTATTCATATTGCTCCTGCATGGCCACTGGACACTACAGGTGCCGCCTACCCATGTGACAGGCAACTCCATGCTCCTTCTAGAGGTTAACTAATGGGTCTTTTCTGTCTGATGGCCTGGCAGGGGTAGACAGGATACATGATGGCAGCACTGTGTAGTAGAGTACATGGATGATATGTCACTTGCACGTTTTCTGAAACGGAAAAGTTCTGTGGTTTTCCTTCATAAAAAGCATCCCGCTGTAAACCCATTTCTGAGTCCCCCAGGCAAGCAAGATAGGTGGAAAATTCTCACTAAACACAACTGTGCTGTTTACAGCTTTACTTGGGTCTTGGCAGAATGTTCTCTGGAACATCCATCTGGACTGTGAATGTTTTACCCAAGTTTTCTTCTGTTCCTTTAATATCTGGAAACTTAATTCCCTCATCTTTGTTTCCCTCAACTACCCTGTGCAAGTTCTTCCGTAACCATCTTTCGTGTTTCATCTTCTTGACGATTTAATTAATGACAAAATATTTGTGCAAGAATTCAAAAACCTGATCCTGAACCTGTAGTTTCTCCAAACATTCAGCCTCAAATTCTATAGAATGACATTTCTGCTCCTTGCAGTGAGATGAAGATAATGTGCTTTTTTTAGGACATGACCTCCAGTATTTATCTTCATATACAGACAAAAAAATACTTTCTCCAACACCTGTTCTGCCACCCACTATTTTTAATTTCTCTCAGTCTTTTAACTTTTATCACTGTGTTGTGTCTTGATGCTTTCATCTAATCTGATGGTACTTCATTTGCTGTCTTGCTATTGATTTATCATCCTGTATTACAGAGACATAATTTTGCAATGCAAGTTTCGAGTGATTACCACTTAATCTTTGTCTACATTCTGCATTATCACTTGAAAACACTGAACTAAATCTAACAAATATGTTTTAGATCTCTGAAGTCCCTTTCCACTACTCCTTCAATCAAAGGAAAGCAGCTCAATCTTCCTAGACAGGCTTATTTTGAGTTACATGATTCAGAAATACAAGTGATATTTTTAGGGCAAGAAAGGAGCCTATCAGGCAAGAACAACTTTCAAAAACTGTCCTAAAGTAAGCGGGTGGTTGGAAAGAATGGAAAAGAATCAAAAAGAAGACGAAGTCCAGACACTTTTAGATATAAAATTTAGGTATCTATTGAGGGAAACCTCAATCCATCCCACTCCTACCAGTTTGATGCCAGTGCCAGAAATAGATGTCCAGAGCCTGGAGAAGGATCATGGGTCATCAGGAGAGCACCTGAAGAGTGACACAAAGGAATTCCAGCCACTCCAGCCAGTCAGTCAGCTTCACTGGGGGCCCAACTTAAATGCATCTGTGCAAACGCATGTAGCACGGGGAATAAACAAGAGTAGTTAGAGATGTACACACACCTGCAGGGCTATGATCTTATTGACATGACGGAGATGTGGTGGGATGGCTCCAGTGACTGGAGTGTTGGAATGGAAGCATACAGGCTCTTTAAGAAGGAGCTGAGGAGGGGGTGTTACCCTATGTCAATGACCAGCTGGAGTCCATGGAGATTTGCCCGGGGGTGGATGAGGAGTCAACTGAGAGCTTATGGATCAGGGTTAAAGGGAAGGCAGGGACAGGGGACATTATAGTGGGGCTCTGCTACAGGCAACCCAACCAGGAAGGCTGAGCAGATGAGGCCTTCTATAGACAGATAGAAGCAGCTTCATGTTCATAAGCCCTTGTCCTCATGGGGGAATTTCAACTATCCAAGTGCATGGTCTTACACATGGGTTGGGGAAATCCAAAGCACAGATACAGACTGGGCAGGGAATAGATTGAGAGCAGCTCTGAGAATAAGGACTTGGGGGTGTTAGTTGATGAGAAGCTCAACATGACCTGACAATGCATGCTTGCAGCCCAGAAGGCCAACCTCATCCTGGGCTGCATCAAAAGAAGTGTGACCAGTAGAGTGAGGGGAGGTGATTCTGCCCCTCTACTCTGTGCCTGTGAGATCCCACATGGTGTACTGCATCCAGTTCTGTGGCCCCAAACGTAAGAATGACATGGACCTGTTGTAGAGAGTCCAGAGGAGGGCCGTGGATATGATCAAGGGGCTGGAGGACTTCCCTATGAGGACAGGCTGAGAGAGTTGGGGTGGTTTAGTATGGAGAAGAGAAGGCTCTAGATCTTAGATCTAGATCTTAGAGCAGCCTTCCAGCACTTAAAGGGGGCTTACAGGAAAGGCGGAGAGGGACTCTTTATTAGGAGGCATAGTGATAGGATGAGGGGTAGCAGCTTTAAACTGAAAGAGGGTAGATTTAGATTAGAAGATCTTTAATGTGAGGGTGGTGAGACATGGGAACAAGTTGCCCAGAGAAGCTGCAGATGTTCTCTCCTTGGAAGTGTTGAAGGCCAGGTTGGATGGGACTTTGAGCAACCTGGTCTGGTGAGAAGTGTCCCTGTTCATGGCAGATTATCATCAAGGTCCATTCCAATCCAAACCATTCTATGATTCTATACACATCCCTTGAAGACATCTTTGCCCAGTCTGCATCTCCAAAGCTGTGATTCCTGACCAGTGCCTCAGTGGGGAATTATTACTTGTAATCTTTCAGGTACCATGCTCATCTGTACATTGTCAATTTAATTTACAAAGCCAATGCAAAACCAGTGACAGATGATTTAACACTCCTGAAAATATTTTATCTAGTAATAAAAACATTCTGCTATTTTTGCCTAAGTAAGTAAAGCACAAGGGAAATCTACAATGTAGACGAATGGAAAATAGTAAAGATGGGTATATTTTTGAAAAAAAAATAGTTAATTTTATAATTTTAAAAACAAGTACACTTTTACATCTCAGAACTAAAGGGAGAAAATTATAAATGTACTTTAGTTGCTTTGATAAACGAATGTTTCACTGATAACCACACATAGAATGTTCATATTAGTGTACTACTATAACATAAACCAGTACAATATAATTTCTCAGTGTCTTTTTAATCGTGCTTAAAATATGGTAACATTGTTCCATAGCAATTTCTTATCTAGTCTCTTCTGAAAGCCTAACTCAGGGACAGTGCTTATCACTGTACCTAATTTTAAGTATTCTCTCACATCACAAATATAGTTCCAAGGACCTTGACCATTTTTAGATTTCACTAGACAGTCAACATTTTTGGGCTTAATACGTAACATAACAGGAATATTTTCCTGGCTTAGGGGGTTTTATTTTTTAAAAACTATTTCTCTCATTCATCTTATTAGATGCTCATTGATGTGACTATACGGTGACCTAGAAGAAAGGTGTCTGCTTACATTGGCCTGCTAATATGTAGCCCCCTTCTTCTGAGTCTTATCTTTCTGAGTCTTATTCTTCTGAGTATTTATATTTAGAGGATGTTACTGAAAACTCTGCATGGTGCTTTGGCAAACTACCATACAGCTTTCTTGATTCAGAAATTCTCATAAGTACCCTTTTTCACTGCTACCTTTCCAGGGAAGGTGCCATGTATTTGTGTATCTATTGAAAATAACTTCTAAAAATCAGCACAGCAAGAAAAGATAATTTGTAAAGGGAGGTTTTTTTCTATAGGGAAAAATAGAAAATGAAAAGAAAAAAAAGGAGAACAGATAAAAAAGGGACCAAGAATCAGCTAGCAAAATCATGACAGTAGCTCTCACCTAGAATGGCTTGTTTTACAACAGAATTTGTCCCTCTTATGTGTAGGTTTCTCTGGTAAGAGGGAAAAACTAGCAATTGCTAACCTTAATGTCCTTATCTCAGTAAAAAAGACAACAAATGAAGATAAATTTTAATGTGGAAGATTAAATAAACCATGGTAAAAGTTTCCATCAGGCAGTTTCAATTTTTGAATTATATTTTACAATACAAATTCAGTGATGAATGACTAGCTATGAGGATTACTTCATAGGAAGAGTATTTCTTACCCGACTTGTTCTTGCACTCGATATCATAGCCAGTGATTGGACTGTTTCCATCAAATCCCATGGTCCATCTGAGGGCAATACTGCGTGCTCTCACTTCTCGGATTTCTATTTCAGGAGGGTCGGGGGGCTCTGAGTAAACACATACACATAGTTTTAGTCAGAAGAAAGCCTGTGTTTGCAACAAGATAGCATTAATGAGCATGGCACTGGCATAGCTTTCTGATGGTAAGCTCTCATGGCGTCTTCTCAGGTCACTCATTAGTACCCTAAGCCAGTTAATCATCTGCTGAAGAATCCTCAACAGACTGAGGAAAAGTCACTTTTCAACTACGAGTCACTGATGTAATCTTGAATACTGACTTCCATTAAACCTTCTTTTATGCAACATAGAGTTGCATTTCCTTAAAAGCACTCTAGATTGAACTACTCATGCCAGAAAAGATTTTTGCCTTGAACACACGTTTCCTGATACCTCTAGAGTTTTTACACAAAAGGTGGTGGTAGAAATATGAATACTAATATTAAAAGTGCTAAATTTGGTGGGGGGAGGAAGTAAATTTCTATCTCTTTGAGTATATTTAGAAGTCTTCATTTAATAAAATAATAATTTGATAACAGTTTAAAATCACACTAAAGATTCTTTCTGCCTCTAGAGTTAAGGATGTAAATAAATAGCATTTATACCCATCCTAATGCCGTTTTAAGTCATCAAGGCAGTTTAAATGAGCAGTGCTGTAACTGAGAACCTGTCCCTAAACTGCACCCAAATTTTTCGACATGGCTGCCTTAGGCATTCACTGACATCTGCAGTTACTTGACATCTAGAATAAGGACAAATAAATTTGCAAGTCCTAGAAATTTGTTGTGTGCATGCTCAAAGGCATACAAGCACAGGAACAAGCATGGCACAGAAATAAGCAGTGGCCAGTGGCTGAGTCCTGCCTGTGCTCTGCATCTCAGATGCTGTCACCTCAGCCACCCCAGGACTTGCTGCCATCTGCCTGAGTGAAACCCTGCAGGAGGGGAACCCCAGCCCCAGGCAACACAGATTCCTGGAGTTTGCATTGTGTAAACTGATTACAATTTATTTTGGGAGATTAAACTTGAAATATTTTATTTAAAGATTCACATATATCTTTATTTTTTATTTCTCTAAAGTCAGATAGCTTTTGCTTTAGTTAAGACTTGGGTTTTAAGCACATCTGTTCTTTAAAAACGAATGCAACCATCTCCTCTTCCTCCAAAGAGTAAGCCATATCCACTGTCCCTACTGAAGATGTTAGTTTTAAGTGTCTTTAGCAGATTGTCAACTAGTGTATTTAAGAAAAACACAGATCTAGAAAGACTCAAGCTTATGCTTTATTTTGATTTAATCTGTGATGCTAGAAAATGAGAGACTGAGCATCTTAATGTGGCTCCTCATTTCTTTGACAATGAGGAATACATTTAATTAGGAAACAGAGCCTCCACCCCCCAACAGATTTCTGAGGACAACATACACTTACTGTACTACAATAGCTGTGTTTTTTTCCTTATGTTGTCCTCTTCCTACCTTGCACAGTGAGCTGAATTATTCCACGATCCTCCCCATAAGAATTGATGGCATGGCAGGAAAAAAAGCCAGAATCTTCACGCACGGTTGGCAGAATCTATAGGTGGTTTGAAAAGAAGTGATTGATTGAACAGCACGCACAGAAAATAAACCAACAGCTTTTCTGTATGGTGCAAGAAAAATTGTACAAACTGTTTTACTTGGCAGAAATAAATAGATATTGCATGTTATACACATACATACATATGCATACTGAAGTGAACAAAATACTGAGACTTGTCAAGGCTAGCAACACCTGTGCTGAGGAAGCAGGCTATCAGCTCAACATGTGTAGTCAGGAGTTGGAGCACCACCTATTCCTGTAGCTTCTCATTAAGAGTCCTGTTTCCAGTTACTCATGAGATTGCCAAGTATTTAACAGTTGGCTGAAATATTCCATACACAATGGTACTTCCTGCTGCCTTGATATTTTTCCAGTTATTTCTGAAAATAACTCAAGTAGCTGAAGTTTGTGTGGAGGAAATAAAGATTCTAACACTGGTGGTGAAACCTGTAGTATTCAGCATGGTGCCTCATGATAAAATTTTCGGTGGTTTTTCTTTTCAATTTGTTATTTAATAACATAGAAAGTTATGAGTAGTGTTTATGTATATTATCATAATGGTATTTTTTCTACAGGACCACTGCTTCATTCAATGTACAATAGGGAGAGAATTTTTTAAAGGAGCAGATATGTCAAATGCCATTTTCTTCTCATCATTCAGTGTGCTGCTCCACACTTTATTTATGGCACACAGTTCAAACTGTGCCCTGAAGACAGACTTTTTCTGTCTTCTTTTTTTCTTTCATTTTTTCATAGTCTTTTCTGTGGTATTCACCTATGCAACATCCATTTCAGAAACATGAGTGAAATTGTTTTCATAAACTCTGACATAATGAAGAGTATTATCACCATTTCACATGGGGAATTAAGGACCCAGATATATGATAATGTTTGTGGCTTCTTGACAAGTTACCACGTATTAGCTGAGCCATGGTAACTCTATGTGCTCTTTATTCCTTAGCAAAACCAAGGTAATACGAGTACAACTCTAATTCACCATTGGTTAAGATAAATGTATTAATTTCCTACTTGCTATAAGGATATTAGAGAGTTATCATCTGAGATGTGGTAACTTGTCAAGCTATGTTAAGTAGCACATGTGGCTGAGATTTAAGATAGGAAAACAAAATTTTTCAGAGCCAAATTTGATACATCTAGGGCCTTCTTTTCCTCCCTCAGAGTCCTTAGCAATAAATAGCATTTCATGTGTTCATAACAGCTTCCATTGAGTTAAGCTGCAGCTATGAGGGCTTAGTACTTCTGCAAATCAGACCCCAAGGGCTCAAGGCAAGTACCTAGAAAACAAAGAACACACAATTATTGGCCACCTGTGAAAAGTTTAGTTTCAATGATCAGCCTTGCATCACACAATGTCTCTCATTACTCAACCCTAATTCAACTCCAGAGAAAATCCAAGTCATGCCTGACTGAGGCAGGGGTCCTGCAGAAAAAATAAAGGCTGAGTATAGAACTAGACATCACATAATCATGCATACGTGCAAAAACACTGAGTTAAAAGCTTCAGACACAACTTTAATCTTGACATTTTCTATTTTTGCAGCATTTTATCTCTCAGAAGTCAATGGTTTCATATGTAACATACATATTGATGGAGAACGTCACTACCATACAAAACTGCTTCAGAAGAGAATTCTCCAAGTAGGTCTCCAGCCTTTCAAAAAGAAATATTGTTGTGCATCTAGGCATTATCTTATTAAAGTCAATAAGATAAATGAGGGCAGAGAGGTCTAGAGGTCTATCCTGTAATTAAATATTATTTGTAACACAAATATGCTAATATGAACACAGTCACACGTAGAACTTATTCTTCCTCAAAGAAATCAATGACAAAGCTCCCTCATGGAGAGAAAACCAGATTTTTACTGGATATCATCCAACATAATTTTTGGTTAGAAAAGAAAGAGATATACCTTAAGAATTACACTAGAATATAGACCATCACCTGAGCTAGACAATTATTTCCTTGAGCCTAGTAAAAATGTTTTTAAGAATGTGACTGAAAAATGAAAAATGAAGATTTTTGACTGAGAATCAATATGATGTTTTAAAAATTATTTTAGATTTTGTGAAGACACATGTAAAAATATAAAGGAATGGAGTGATAACATGTTCACATTTGTAAATTTTAAATTTCAGTGTAAAAATCTGTATCTTGGTACATTGAGGGCAATGTCATAGTTTCACTTGTTGCAGATGACACCAGAACAGTAGGAGTTTCCTGTGCTTCTGTGACATCTTGGGGAAACTAAAGTCCCTAAAACAAGGCGACTCATATAGCCCCTCAATCTAACCCAGGTCAGCCACTTAGGAGTTAACAGAGTTCCACATATTGATTTGTCAGGCAAGTTGAGATGCACTTTTCTCACACCACCAGTCAGCTGTCTGTCACAGAAGCAGAAGTGAAGATGCAGACTGTGACTGTTTGCTAGGTGGCTTGGTCACTTTTGCTACTGTGTACAGTAAGTGCAAATACTACTGGCAGTAGTAGACACACTACTTAAGTACCTTTTCCTTCCAACTCACTTTGAATCCAGTGACTAACCTGACTTTGTAAAATGGTCTTACAAGCCCCACAAAGTGAAAGAGAGAGAGAAAAAGTATTTTAAAAAGACAGCATTTTTCTCTCTAAACAGCTAATGATTTTGGTAAAGGTAAGTCTGACACACATCAGAGCTAGGGGTCAGATATTCACTCAGTGCTCATCAGCAATGCACTCAAAACTGAGCTGTGCTGCCCTAGGAAGGACAGGCTAAGGCACAAGCTACATTGTCCTGAGGCAGAAAGGAGGAGGGTGGGTTGAGCCAGACTCGCTCTCTTGTTGCCTCTGGAGCATGGGAAGATGGAGTATGATTTTTCTTGAGGCCGGGATGCAGAGGTTTCCTCTATGTTCTCTTGCTGCCAGCTCTCCAGGGCTGCACCATGGATAGAGTGAGTGATGGGGCTCTGATCTTGTAGGGCAGAGGTAGCTGTGCAACCATACCAAAACCAAATCAAGCAACACTCTCACACATGTAGATGAGTCACGTGCCACTTTATTTTCTTACCTGGAGAGTAGAGATCACTTCATCTCCAACTTCCTTGGTGGAAACAAGATAACGGGACATTTCAGGGTTAATGATTCGGTCTTCCTTTTCCCAGCGGACTATGATGGGTTTCTCTCCATGTGCTGTGCAGCTCATCTCCTTCTTTTGACCTTGTGTTGCCAAGGTGGTATTTGGATAGGAAGTTATCATAGCTGGAACTGAAAACAGGCAAAGCAAAAAAAAAAGATCATTCTTCAGTGAGCTGACCAGTCTGGTGATGCAGGATTGACCCTTCAATCTGGGTCTTATTCAGCTTGTCCATATTTGACCAGATGGCCAAAAATGTGAGAAATTATTTTACTTTCATTTCTGTGTAAGAGAATCTTCTTAAGATTGAAGACGAGTATCAAAGGGACCTTAGAGAGAAGCCAGTCCTGGACAGTGGGGTTGTAAAGACAAGAAGATGTGAATCCAAAGGAAGACTGGCTCTATTTGTTTTGATGCTCATAGGACAACTTGTAACATAATTAAAATATTCACAGAACATAAAGTTACTGTAAGTAATCAGCATTCAGATATGGGGCCAATAAAGAACTGATAAAAATTTCTTATGCTTCTGATGGGCTACTGTTTTATTTGCTGACAGATATATGCTCTACCATTCTGTATGACTGTAATGACCTATCAAAATGAGGGCTCAGTTAAACTAAGAGCTGTACAAAATGAAAATAAATGTTCTGCACCAAAGAGCTTACAGTCCATGTGTGTGCTGAGTGCATAGTTAAACTGCATTGAACTGAAAGTATAATTAAACTGTCAATAAATGTAGCTTGATTTGTGTTTTTATTGTATTTAGAAGGTATATGCAGAATAGTTTGTATATAATTGTCAACTTCATTAATCATTTAGGACTCCACAAAAATTTAATGTTGAAAAAAATAGTCTCTTGATACCAAGAATAAACCTCTATTTTCACATTTTTTAATAAAAAAATTTCTGGAAATATGAAGAAAAAGTCCTCAGTGTTATTTATAGCAACTCCTTAAAACTTGGCATTTTTGAGATGTAATGGTCTCTTTAGTGTCTTCAGTTGCCTGTCTTTTCATTCCCATGATTTGTCCACCAATAAATAGCATCTGGGCAGTAGTGAGTAGCAAGGATCAAAGTCCATGATTCTGTCTTTCAGTTCTGGCAGCTTCCCAGCTTGGGTGAAGCCGGAAAGTGCTGAACAGCATACAGAACCATTCTCTTCTGAATGAACCTTTCCACTCCTTTTAAAGCGTATGAGGTGGCAGTAAAGAGTTCCTTCTCTAAGCTCTTGCACTCTAGAGTTGCCTCCTGCAATAGCCCAGCTCTCCTTGTTTTCATGCATGAACACTTCCCTTTTCTTAACAGACCAACTCATGCGTTCCATCTGAACTTCCCTGGGTCTGTATTTTTAGAAGATGATAGCGGCACAGGACATGATTTGAGGCCTTCCCAGTCTTTCCCGCTGCATAAATTACATCTATTACTACCAGACTGCAAAATAAATAAATAAATAAATAAATCCATCCTTATTTATATGAATTACTATAATTGCTATTCTGAAATGTTAATGCTTGGTGGCATGACCTTTTCACATGCCACAGCTGTTGATGCATGTATATGACAATATGTCAGGATGCAGCCCTTTCTGTTCAAAGGCTTCCTGAACCAAAACAAACCGATTTTAAAATTAACAGGGCTGTGGAGCTGTGGATTAGAGTCATGAATGGGATCTAATTACAGGAAGAACTCTCTAAGAAAGGTCGTGTGTGAGACATGAGGCTCTTGAGGCACTGATATGCATTAGTGATGAAGTACATCTTGTTTAACTGTTTGGATATTAGGTACCAATTAGTTTTTTCAAAGAGAAGCATTTAAAGAGAAGAAATTATGAATAACTAAAATACAAAACTAGGATTAGTCTGATTCCATCTTCCCGAGAATGAAAATAGATTCAGTTTTATCTAGCATCGGTCTGATGCTAGATCTACCCACAAGGAGGCTTTTTTCAGAAAGTCACTTTTTGTGGTCATCTCCTAGTTGCTTCCAAATACAGAAGCTAGTGTATGAGGACTACACTGCTGCAGGCCTGTGGGCCATGTATGCACAGGTGTGTAGTTTAACATATCTGCCCTCATCTGCAACACCTGAAATAAGCCAATATATCCTTTTATGCACTTCATTCATCAACAAGAGACCCAATTCAAAAGATTGGCAGTTTATTATGGAGTCCACATTACCATCATTAACTTGTGCCACCACCTTCCATAATCTCCCAAGCCTTCCACATGTCCCTTCCTTTCCTCATTTGCCACACCTCTCCACATCTCTCTTATTTTTCCTCAATGCAACACATTCTAGTCCCCTTTACCTCTCCCTCTCTTCTTCCTGCTGCAACCAGCTCAGGTTCTCACATGTTCCCTAACCCCTACAGCAATGTTTTCCTCTTCCAACCTCATCCTCTTCCCTGATCAAATTCTACCAGCCTCCCAAGTCACCTAAATGATTTTCTTTACAGCTGCAGTCCTCCTTCCCATCAGTCTCTCCTGCTCTGATTTCCCTGTCACCCTCTGGAGATGGAGGGAGCATGTGCCTAGCCCACCCAGGAGCTGAGGGGTGGGGTGTGCCTCCTCACATGACACCTGAGCATCCAGTGTGCCTGTGCCCACAGGCAGGAAAGATCAGCATTTGGACAAGTGTACACCCACAGAAAACTGGATGTTTGGATTTGGATTTAAATCCCACAGACCTCGGGGAGACTGTCCCAGAGACTCTTTCATACCTTCAGGTCTCCTAAACTGTTGTCTTTCAAGACTTTCCTGATCAGTGACAGTGTCAAACCAAACACTGTGACCATCTTACTTTCTTTTTGAAAAACAGAAGAAAACATCTGAAGCTTAATTTTTTTCCCCAACAAACTTTCTTAATAAGAACAGCAGAAAAACATGCAAAGAAAGATGACTTTATTCCTCAGATACAGCTTTATCCCTACTTATCCTTCCCTTCCTCTCACATAATCTTCCACGCTGATTCCTTATTGCCATAGCAATGCCTCACAGCTAAATATTTCCCCTTCCTCCAAAGCTGATTTTTTACTCTTCACAATTTATCTCCAATGATCCTGAACCATAAGCTCTTCTTTTTATCTTCCTCTGTGTCAGAAGATTTCTGGTAACAAAGGCACATTCCCAAGGATATTTTAGGCAATGTATTTCTTCATCCTCCAAATATCTTTAATCAAATTACTGATGCAAATAACTGAGATAAATATGCTGGCTCTTTACTGACAAAATAATCTAGGAAACTGTAAATAAGCAAACTAAATCTGTAGTATATATGCATGAGATATTCTCTTAGGATGTTTTAAAAAAAAAGTGAAGGCATTTAGAAATATATCAAGATGATTCAGTTGCCATATTAAGTGTGTGTACCCTTGATATCCCTTCAAATAAACATTATGTACACACACATATAATGATATGAATTTATATAATTTAGACAACTTTGGAAGGGACAAGCATATTGCTGTGCATGTTCAAGGAACGCATAGTGTCATGTTTCGTGATTTTGGAATAGACTTTCCTGTGGGACAAATTAATACAAATCTCATCTGGAGTTCTCCACATCTTTCTCTGAAGCATGTCATGTGGTGCTGGCCATTGTTAAAGGTCTATTGGACAAAATTGGACAGTTTATAGATTATAGAGATATCATACAGATATAGACTAAACTTTATTGATTATGATGATTTCCATATTTAAGGTATGCATATTGCTGCCAGCAGCATTAATCTAGGAGGTGCCTCCATTATACCTGGGCTTCCATCTGGAAAGCTGATTTATTTATTCCTTTTTCCAGATCTTCCCCTTTCTTTGTGGAAACCCAGTAACAAGTAACCTTATTGCTTTACACTACTAACATAATCAAAAATAAAAGTGAAAAATTCAGTAGTCAAGCTTATTCTTAAAAATCCTGGCTTAGACAAAACAAGAACCTTTGGTCCCACTCTGAAGAAAACCTAATCTGGACCTTTCCTGAGATTCAGTAAAAAAAAAAAATACTTAATGTGACTATCTTTTCTCGGCTACTGCTAAGTATTTCATCAAGAACAGAATGCAAATAAAAATGAAAACATTTAATTACCTTGGCAAAGACAAGTCTCATTAACCAGAATAAGGAAGCTATAGTAAATTAGGGGAAACTTGAGCAAAGTAACAGAAATGTTTGAGTTCTTTTAGAATAAGGCTTCACAAATTACTAGAAAAACTGAAATTTACATTCAATTTAAAAAATATGTAGGGAGCAGGGTGCTGAAATAACTATTCTTTCTCTCTGTTAGCTCATAGATGGAAATAGCTGTGTGGGAAAAAATCCAATTAAAAGGTTCCCTATCTTTTAGTTTGTACTTAAACATTAAGCATACTTGTAATATCTTTAAATAATTCTAAGACTAACTGAATTTCTCAGTATGTTTAAGAACTATCATTGTCTGTACTCTCGAAATGGCATTTTTCTAGCAGCCTAGCTGTGGTGAGAAGAGAGGAATCCAACACAGCCAACACCATGATCAATGGAGAGATGCCATGTGATACTGCACAATGTGTTTTGAGCTGTACTGAAAGTTAGATTGCTGATCATAGCCAAACATTAATACAAATTCAAGTTGCTCTTGAGAAAGAGAACAGAAAAGATGCCGTAGAGAAGCAAATCTAATTATATAATGGTCTGGAGATAAATGAACGCAGTGAGAATTTGAGAGTGCTTGGTAACAGACGTATCCTGGCCTCTGTCAGGGACGTGACTGTAGCACGTCAATATGTATCACATGTCTCCACCTCTCTTGGTCAGAAGAGTTCTGCCCTAGCAGAGTGTCTTCTCACATAACTTGGCTCTTTCACTGGAGCATGCTTGAACTGGCCAGTCTGGGGCAACGTCTGCCACCAGAGTGGGATTCATCTTGCAAACATCTATGCCAAGCTAGGCATCACAGACTCCCCTAATGAAAAGAAAGATACTTTTAGAGTGCTATTCATCTAGCCAGATGTACTGCGCCTTCAAAAGCCTCTTTATACTGAAGACTCAGGAACCTGAAATGCCTTGCTCAATTGCAGAGAAGTGCAAGCTTATGCTGTAATGAGGGAAGATGAACTCCATCTGTTATTCTTGTACAGCTTCTAGAACAGAAGACTAT